CCCTAAACCCTGAAGCCCTGAACCCCCAAAGCCTCAAACTGCAATCAGCCAGAAAGGCCCGAGGCTGGGAGCCGTCAACATCTGAGTCGAGATGGAAATCCTACACCATACTATTGTTTTGCGGTTTAGGGTTTAGGGTTGAAGGTTTAGGGTTTAGGGTTTAGGGTTTAAGGTTTAGGGTTTAGGGTTTAGGGTTTAGGGTTTAGGGTTAGGGTTTAAGATAGGGCATTATACTCTTATTCTCACTCTCACTCGTACTATTCCTATTACTCATACCCTTACTCTTTCTAGCGCCATGAGAGTCTTCTCCCAAACGTGACCCCTGAAGGAGGAATGAAGCAATTGCGAACATTGAGCATTCCATGAAGGGAACTTCAACAAATAAATAAACGCAATGCTAATTGTAAGAACAACAATGTTAATAAGATCTTTCAACAAGAGAGTCAGGCTTGACACTCTAGGCTTAAAGGGTTTGGCCCTTTCCCCATCGCTCGCCCCTGGCAGTCCAAGCGTCTCCGCAGGAGAACACCACGCACACCGATGGCTGTGTTCATGTTCTGCTTCCCTGCGGGCGAACACCCATCCTATGTTCACTATCACGACGGATGAACAATGATGAAACACTACTCCTAATAGTGCAACACCAATATACCTTAAGCGTAAGAGACTTGGAGAATGGAACCGTGTGTTATTCGTAACGGTGCGATACAACGTGGGGGCCTGCTCGATTGCTGGGCTCCCTGGCAATGCTATGGGCCCTTACTGCAACAAGCAGTCCTAACCCTGACCGACAAGCTATAATCCTTTGAGGGTTTAAGGTTTAGGGCCCAGTTCAGGGTTTGGGATGTGGGGCTTATAGGGTCACAGAAATCCGATGCAACTCCACATCCACATTCTGAACCCACTCTTTGAAGCGATGAGAGCAATGGAGGGGGTTCGGAAATCCTTATCACTGCTACTACCACTACCACTACCTCCACCAACACCAGCACCACCACCGCCGCCACCCCCACTACCCCTACCACTACCATTGCTACTACGACGACGACCGCCACTACTGCACCACCTCCTCCTCCTCCCAAACGCCAACATCCAAAAGCTCCAACCAAAAGCCCCGAACCCTGCACGATGCCTCCCCGGCGGGGTCCATGGTAGTCACAGTCTCCAGGCTCGGCTCGCGGGAGATGAACTTTTGGCTCTCCTCCCCTTGGACTGCCATTATTCTTAGTAGTAGCAATAGTAGTAGTAGTAGTAGTAGTATTAGTAGTAGTGGTAAAATACCATACTTCTTGGTGGTATAATAACATCACTATTCTTAGCAGGATTACAATGCCAAAGCAGCAGTGCCCAGAACCTTGCATCCAAACACAAACGAGAATATGACACGGTCCTGTGTCGCCCACAACTCTTCGTCTTGTTTTGTGACTTGCTATGCGATATGCACCATGCTATGCCATACTACCTGGCACTGTTGTGGTGTTACAGAGCATTTATTGTAGCGCATAACGACGCAGCACAGCACAGTGCACTCTCTTATGATAAACAGAAACATCTCACAACTTATTGGATTGGAGTACTAAGTACTACATTACCAAGGATCACGACGCATTCCCGACATCACCTCATGTTGCGTCGGCGTCCAATTACGCTCCACTGGATTGCATTACCCGGAATTCCAGTTTATGTGGTGCGAAAACCTCTGGTATGTTAGATGTAAAGTTCCGGATTTCATGATAGTAGGAATTGAGAGCAGGAATAGCAAGAGCAATCGCCATATACCAGCACCAACCCGCAACCCTAAACCCTATCTTCGGACTCCGTAATATCAGGCCAAGCGACCATCTTGAACTCGCGAAACGGCTCGCGACACCTTTGCTTTTCCCAGGAGCTCTTGCGGCAGAGCTTCGGGTTTAGGGTCCAGGGTCCTTAGGATGCTTTGTGTATGGTTTTGTATTTGCTTTCTACGGATTTTGAAAGCATTTCGTAAGGTTTTGCACTGGCTCCATAAGGTAATTAGGGTCTTACGAAGGCCTATTGAGGGTCTTTTCGGGTCTTCTAAGAGTGCTATACGGATTTACCCAGGGAGTTACAAGGGTTCTTATAATCATACAAAGCTCAAAAATCTCCTTGTTGGGAGGTCCTTGTATTCAACAAAAAAGTTTTTATTTTTTAACCCTTTTCGCCGTGTTGGGAGGTCCTTGTATTCAGGATCCGACTCTGCCGGGCTTTTCTCTGAAGGTCCAGGGTCTCAGGAGTTGCAGTCCGGATCCTGAAAGGCGGACGAATACGGTTGATGATATAATATCCTGCATGACCCATGGTAAGGAACATACCAAAAAATCCCATGGTTTAAAGTACAGCAGGGTTTATAGCCATGCAACCCACCGCAGGCACATCTGTTGACTTCCGAGGTTCAGGATTTAGGACTTGGGACTTTGGGCTTCTCCCCTGAAGCCCTTCCTCAACCCCAAATCGTGCAGCCTGCAGTTTAGGGTTTAGGGTTTAGGGTTTAGGTATTAGTTCAACAAGACACACCTCCCAGCAGCCCAGATTTCGATGTGCCGCTCCGGGAATAGGACTTAGGGCTTCGAGAAGGCTAACACTTCAGTGTTCAGAGGCAGGGCTTCGGGTCTAGAGAAGTAACGGGCGAGGACTGCTTGCCGCCTTCACCTTCACAAGTATCTAAGAGAGGGGCCTTAGTAGTTAGAGTATGGTTATAGGTTTCGGCGACTAAACCCCGAAACCTGAACCCTAAAACCGGATCACTACCACCGCATCAGCCAAGGTGCCGCTTTCGACACCACATGCTCTACCTGCGCTTCAAGCCCCGGGTGCTGGGACTCTTGGGGTTTAGGGTTTGGCACAGCTGTCGCAATTCCTACGATAGGGCCTAAGGGTCTCGATGTCTAGTCGGGCGTAGGGTTTAGGCCTCAGCAGTTTAAGTTTAAACTGGTGATGTTGCGGTGTAGATGACACCACCAAGAAGCTCACAACGATTAAGACCGCTTAGAGTCTGGTGACGGCAGTTGCCGATGGAAGGACAAAGGGTTGTTAGAACTGCAGATGTCCGTAGCCCTGCGACTGCATAGAACTTGAGAAGCCACGAACTTGGAAGGCTTCCAGTCGACAGTTCCCCCCGCTTGAGGCGGATGCTGGGAGGATTGCCTGGTTTAGGGGCTGAGGACCTGTTTCTGTTTCGAGTGTTAGGGTCTTTGGGCTTTAGGATTTACGAAAGCCCTGAGCCGTACTAGTAGTAGCACAAGTAATAGTAAAAGTAGTGGTAATAGTAACAGAAATAATAACAATAATAGTAATAGAAATAGTAATCGTGCTAGGACTAGTATCAGCACTAGTAATAGTAGTAATCATAATGGTAATGAAAATAAGACTAACCATAATAGCAGTAATAGTAAGAATGATAGTAATAGAAATACTTACAGCAATAGCAATAGTAATAGTGATGGTAACTGTAATGATAATAGTAATGGTTATAGTAACAACTGTAGTAGTAGTAGTAGTAGT